TGGGTTTGACATGAAACGACATTTTATGTTCAAAATAGCACAACTATTAACCTACGTTGCGACCCTCCGCAGGTGATGAGCACGTTGCCGGACGTAGGGACACATTTTTGGCGCCAACTTAAAAGGTTGAAGCCACAAAACGTTTTATATTTTTCACTTCGAACAATCTGATACGGTCTTTGGAATTTTTTCGTAAATATTCAACGCTGTCTCTAACACCGTTTCCAACGAGAATAGTTGCCTGAAGTCGCCCTTTCTTGTTAACATACATTGACGTCTGGACTGTACGGCTTTTCTCGCCTGCTGAATCCTGATTGGTCAATTCAAATTTCAGACTCACCAGCCGCATGCAAGGCATATGATCGTTCAGTGCACTTCATACCCGGACATTGTCAATCTCCACTTTATACCTGCGTTTATCCAGATAACATTTTCTATTTTATGTGAAATAACCTATTCCACACCCACGAAACGAAATATTACAACCTAACCTAACATAACACATTGCAAAGCATAACAGAAGCCTATTGTACCGTCCTGATTTCGTGTGATATCAGGTCATTGAAGCGATAAAGCTAAGAGTACGGCCAAAACTTGGTACGGTAAATATTAATGGTACCTTTTCTTGGGGTTCAGTGGAATATTACTGATATCAGGCTCGTTTGGTCTCACAATGAATCGGCATGGCTCAACCAAACTCGCCTGATATGCGCCGAATAGTACCAGAAAGGTACGATGAGGTATAATAGAACATAACGCCTTTCATACATTACATAATAAATTAGTAACTAAAATTAATAAATTGCCTGTTATTGATAGTACTAATGATTTGTCAAAGTTGCTGTGGATCCACGAGGCGATAGCTGAGTGGATCCGTAGACTACTTTGACAATGTTATGACGAAATTCACTGTCAAGAACAGGACAGATGCATAAGAAACTATTGTCGGCCATTTTGAATTATAGTGTTTCAAATAGCTATTATGGGATGCTTACGGGGTCAAATACATACCAATTTGCCAACTGAGCATCCCATAATAGCTATTTGAAATAATAGAATTCAAAATGGCCGCCGTATCGCCGAAAAGATCCATTGTCCGCTTTCGCTCGTTGTGTCGCATTAAATTGATGTGTCTGTCCACTTATTAACAATGAAAATCAGCCAATGATCGTTCGAGAATTTCTGCAGTTATTTTAAAATTGACCATGGAGCCCGTTCCGCATATTGTTTTTGTTCTTTTAAATGTTTTTCGTTAGTATATTAATAGGCTAAGTGACGTTCCTGCAAGCGCGGTCCATTAGCTTTCAATGACATTCATTAGCGTGTCACTTGCCACATCTGAAAATAGCATAATAAGCAGGTTCTTATCGCAAATTTGATTTTTCTTGTTCGTGAGAAAAGCCATACGGAAGTCTAATTGACTTACAACAGTTTACGAACGCGAATTTAATTCCAAGATATGTAGCGAGTATATTTCAAGGTGTGTGCGCCCCGTCCGCCCTCTGTGCGCTCCGTCCGCACCGGCAAAACAAATAAGCCCAGTTTTCGAAACGGTTTTTGTCAAACACTTCCTCACCGCAAACAATGCTAGGCCCAATTAGCCACTCTACCCTCACGAGACTCGGAGTAATACTACCTGACTTTTAAAATACCAGCGATTATTGCCAAAACATGAGATGTATTATTATATCTCTCAGTTAGTACGCGCGCTGTGATTGGTCAATTTAGCGTGCCGTATTC